ATCTTTCTTGGATGTTACTCCTACCAGTTCTGCACATCAGTTGACACATTAATACATGACTACTCTTTAATTAAAAGGGGGTCCTTTTAATCTTCTGACATGAAGACCTCTGGGTAAGCTGGGAAGCTTGTCTTTCACCAACAGACATTGATCCAATAAAATATTACTTCACCCACTTTGTATCTCCAATATCCTGGGATCAACACAGCTGTAACAATACTGCATGCAAACAGATAATGATAGCTTGGCTTAACTGTAGCCTTTAAATTCCAGTCAGAAGCTTCAAATTAATCACTGTGTAGCTTACGCATCAGAACACTTTGGTACGCTGTCCCAGAATGTTTTTTGCCAATTGTATGTTACTATGTCAGTGTGGAAATGAAACTGATCTAATTAAACATGCTGAATTATATGACTTTTCTGGGGATATCTCTACTGCTTCACATTGCTATCCCTAAACAACTGTCTTTCTAGCAAATAATGTATAGAAATATTTTTGATATACTATGTTGTGCTGACTAGCTGTTTGACTGTTTTGTTTGAAATGTTTAGAATATGTGCCTTATGTAGTACATTTTTAGCACTTCATAAAGAATAACATGAATTAATGCAGTGCAATGTACATAAATACTTTTCTTTGATTAACCTGTTCATATTATGAATTCATTAGTTTTATGTCAATTTACATGACTTTAAGAGACTGAGGGTTACATGACTGTAAAAGATTACTTAAAAAATAGTCTGAAACACACTTGCAAATTCTGGCTTAAATGCTGTCTTAAAAAGTCAAAAGGTAAATTAAATCTCCCTTATAGATAAAGTAGAAGGTGGACCACTTTTTTCCTCGTACTTGTGAGGACTCCAGTAGAAACATAAAATAAATGAGATTCATGCAACATATATTTTGCTGCCTCCTAATGTAATTAGTAATTTTTTCATCTAAAAATCAAGGCATATTGCTATAGAATAAAATACTTCCTGTGTGCAAAAAAACCCATATACAATAAATATGTACTACCCTACTGCAGAAAGTGACTTTTTTATTTCCGATATAGGTAATAATGTAACAGTTACTTTAAATGCAGGGCCTCCCAAATTGTGGTATGTCTACCCTTGTGGACATGCAGGACATCTCTGGGAGGTATGAGGGAGAAATTGTGCAATGGTGGATTTTATTTATTATGTTTTCTTAATAAGCTGCTCAGATGAAACTTTAAAACTCTGAGGATGTTATATAAGATGTATCAATGAGAACGTATATGATATACAGAGATGCAAATGTACAGAGTCCTCCCCTCCAGTCATAGTACAGCATGGGGATCAGTTTCTCAGTCTAACTCTGCTCAGAACTTAAGATTTTTTGGTTGTATGTGTCACACTATACTGTCTGAAATATGCACAGATGGTTATAAATAAACTGCACCCCTCCCCCCCTTGCTGCTTCCTACAAAGGTGGGGTAGAGGCAGGAGCCAGTGCCACCAACCCTCTTCCCTTGCATTGCTGAAGCGGGGGCGGGGGAGGCTGCTCCACAGCAGCTCCTCTCCACAGGGGGGTTTGAGCTCCTAATGGATAGAGGCTGCTCCAGCATCCCATAGAGCAGCCTCTGTCCGCAGGGAGCTCAGACCCCCCCCCCCCCGCCCCGGAGGGGGCCCCCCCACCGGGGCGGGCCTCCTGCAGCCCGGGTCTCTCCCCACTGTCCCTGCTGCCTCTGATACGGAGCTTGTCTGTGCAGGAAGCTGTTTTTTAAACTCTATCAGAGGCAGCAGTGTGGAGTGGCAGGGGGTTCCCTGGGAGTGGGGCCAAGAGCATACTGGCTGCCGGCCCTACCTCTGGGGACTATCAAATAGTTGTGAAACCTCTAAAATTTGATGCGGTTACACAACTGTTCAGGTGCATGCTATCTGACATGCTAGCATCTTTATATGAAAATAGTGATAATATAAAAGAAATGTGTTAAAATAAAATTGCAGTCTCATTTACATATCTAGGTGACCCTCTGAGGTACTGCTCTGTACAAGCAAAATCATATTTCAGATATGTTTTTTTCCATATAGTGGCACTCCTAACATCTTTTTTGTTACCAGAGTTTACTAGTTTGTACTGTGCTAAAGACTCTACCAATTTCTACCAATTCCTAAAAATATAAAGTGGGAGAGGGTCAGTTTATAACCAAAGAGAATTTGTAGCAATTGAAAACTTACTCCCCTTAAATTTGGCATGCCACAGTGATTTTTCATGGAATTATAGGACTGCAAGGCACCTCAAGAGGACATCAAGTCCAGTCCCCCTGCACTCATGGCAAGACCATCGCTGTATTTGAGTCAAGTCTGTTTGGTGACGACTCTAAATCCTGTCCAAACATCACAGCAGACAGAGCTGACTTTTCTCCTATATTGTTCTTACTCTGCAGCAAGCCAGCCAACTAACTTGAACTTTCTTGCTTTGTCCTCCAATACATTTTTTTTGTCTTGTAATTTGTTTCAATAATGAGTTTCTGGGGTTTATAACTTTTGTCAACCTTTGACTTTTTTTAACCTATAGTCCCACTAAAATTCAACCATAGCATAGTTTAATCCATCAGATCCTTCTAGTAATGGCAAAACATGTTGCAAGTCCAGATATTATAAAAAACGTGGACTGATACTGCAACTTGGACTGAGGGTATTTGTACTTGTTTTGTACTTAAGGTCCTCAAAACCTATGGAAAACCTAGACTCCTAAGGTAGTTCTCAGAAAACGGTATGATTCTCTTCAATCCTGTCATACTTTGTCTTCTGCAAATAATGAAGAATTGGGAACATGAGAGATTGTTGATTACCAATCATGTTATTTGTATTCCCACTGATGTACCTAATAGTTGAGTGGTCTGGCTCCCTTGGTAAAATCAGTCTTCATATCAGAAGTGTGGTATAGAAGCCATCATTGATTCTTAGAAGTCTTAACATGTGAATACGCAGTATATTTCAGCATCTTGTGGCTTTCTTCATAATTTATCCCCTTGCCGTGACTGATCCAGAGATGTGCTAGCAAGACTTTATTTTCCAAGGAAGGCATTAGGACTGATCAGTCCCTTCTGTGTAAAGGCCCAATCCATTTCCCACTGATGTAATAGAAATCTCTGTATTGACTTGAAAAGGAAGTTGGCCTAGGCCCTTGTCTTCAAAAATAAAGTATTATTGTCCATTGGTTTTTTCCTAGGTTGATGGGACCCTCAGATGAACTGAATTTTTAGATAACCAGAATGCCCTAATCCCCGAGCGTACCGGATAACACAGGTTTTATTGTAGTAGATTTCAAAAGACTGGTTTTAAGGATGGTGCTGATGGAAGTAAAGGAAATAGTGTATTTCTAAGTGTATGTCTACACATCAAACGCGGGGGAGGGAACCTGATTTCCACCTTGCAGAGACATTCTCAAAAGCTAGCTCTCATCAAGCTGGCATGCTAAAAATGAAATGTTGTGTAGGAGCTAGTTGGGAGGGACTAGTTGCCCTCCCTATGTATCTAGCATCTCTGATAGACACTCATTCTGGATATCTGTCCCAGTCTATTTAAAGGGCTACAGTAGTATTCTATTTTTAGCATACTAGTTTGACAAGAATTAGCTCTTGAGTATGTCTTCTCAAACTGAGAATCACACCCCCTGCTCAAAGGGTAGAGATATCCTACAAATAAAACAGCTCTTGGGTTTAAGTGCTATAATTGCTCTACATTTAGTGCATAGATTTTTAAAAAATATATTCATTTAATGGAAGAGGATTTTTATGTTAGTGTAACTGTAGTAAAGGGGCTATTCCCCCAAGACTCTGTTCCTAAACCTGCAGCATTTTTTTCTGACTCTAAATGTACTATAGTAAATGGCTAGCCATTTTGATGACTGCATCTTGCATATTATTTCACTTTTTTCTCTTCAGTTTAGCTGACAACACCAGAAAATAGTATAATTTACACTATAAATCTTATAATTTTGTGAGAAACTTACAGACAAAACAGAATGCCAAGAATGTTCTATGTAAATCGTGGTTTAACAGGATTTGCTTAAGCCTGTCATCTGCTAATTTGTGATACCCTCATGCCAAGCTCTGTATTAGTTCTTTGTAAGTCCTCATATGAAGTTAAAGATTTTTAAAATCCTTTTTTGGCTTACTTTGTCTGAAAAGACTTTATCTAGAAATTAATGGATTTAAAGACTCATTGTAGAGTAACTAGACCCTTTTTTTTAGTTCAACTGACCTAATCAGTTTTGTAAATTTGTGTATTTAATTCACATTGCTTAATCAGATGACCATTTTTAATCTTTTAAAAATTCTCTATAAAAAGAACAAATTTATTTGTAACATTATAGTGCATGCACTGAATGCAGTCAGGTTATTTTGAAATATAAATTTTGTACTTATTATCATTCCAAATTGCTCAGTCTAGTTTTGAATGCTATGTTTTTTTCCTGTAAAAAAAAACTTTAAAAATATCAGTGGCGTAGAAGAACAGCATTGTAGAACAGTAATTCCTTCATCTTGAGCTCCATTGCTACTACCTGGTGAAGACTAGAATTGTATGGAATTAGGTGTTTATAAACACTTGAGATTTTTACTGATGTATCAATATGTAATTATCAGGGGAAATTTAAACTTGTGTACCAAGTTCATTCATTCACCCTTGCCATCTTCAAATGCTCAGACACTATGGTGAGCAAGCTGTATAGCGGGTGGGCAAAAGGGCCTCCGCCCCCCAGGCCAGTCAGGGTCTGGGGACGGAGGGAAGCGCACGAAGTTTCCTCCGCCCAGCCCCCAAGCCCTGATTGGCCTGAGAGTAGAAGGGGGAGTGTGCAAAGTCTCCTTCTGCTGCCAGGGGGAACCTTTGGGAGCGTGGAGGGGGGGCAAAGACTTCACGTGCTCCTCCACCCCCAGACCAATATTAGCATAATAGGAATAGAATGAAGACTTGGATACAGTGTCATTGCTTTAGACATTTAAATTAAATACGTATTGTTTTTTTCATAGTGCTGCTGGAGGTGAAATCTTTGACCAGTGTGTGGCGGAAAGGGAAGAAGCCTTCAAAGAAAAAGATGTTAAGCGGTTAATGAGGCAAATTTTAGAAGGAGTTTCGTTTTTACACAGAAATAATGTGGTACATCTTGACTTGAAGGTAAGTGTGTGTATTTTTCTCATAGAGTATGCCCACATTACAATAAAACACCTATGACTGGCTTCGGCTAGGTGACTTGTGCTTCCATGAAGGTCCCAAAGCCCAAGCTCCAGCCTGAGTTCAAATGTCTACACTGCAATTTTATAGCCATGCAGTGTGAGCCCCATGAGCCCAAATCAGATGACTAAGGCTTTTTACTCAGTGTTGACACATCCTTTGTTACTATTAATATGTGCTGACTCCATGCTATTATATGATGTTAATATTATATATGGTTAATAGGTGCTGACTCCTTGCTAATTTATAAATAAAAACAATGTGCATATACTTTTCCAAAGCACAAAATTAACCTTTAGGGAGGTACAATCGATACTTGTAATTTTGGTGTTAGATGATAACTTTCTGAAAGTCATCAGTGTCTTTGAAATATGGACTTAAAATTGCTTTTATATGTTACACAATCAAATGGATGAGGTTTTTGACTTTCAGCAGGGGTGGGCAATAATTTTTGCCCGGAGGCCACTTCAGAAATGTTTGAAGTAGCCCTGGGCCACCCCGGAAGGGGAGGGGCCTATACAGGAAGGGCGGGGCTACCCACCCCCAGACCATCATTGGTCTGGGGGTGGGGAGCCTCTTTGCCCCCCTTCCCACTAAGCACCCATGCCCTGGAAGAGGCTTGGCATGCTCCCCCACCCCCAGGCCACTCAGGATCTGGGGGCAGGAGAGCGCAGGAACCTTCCTCCTGCCTTGCGAGGAGCATGTGGCACTTTGAAGTGCCACGGGCTGCTCCTTGAGCTGGGGCAGGGAGAAGGAAGCTTCATGCAGCTCCCTCCACCCCCAGACCCTGATTGGCCTGGGGATGGGGGAGCGCACAAAGCCTCCTTCTTCTCCCCCCCCACCCTCATGAGCAGCATGCAGAGCTTCAAAGCGCCATGTGTTCCTGGCAGGGCGGGAGGAGGCTTCGCGTGCTCCCCTGCCCCCAGACCCTCTTTGGTCTGGGACAGGGGAGCATGAGGGTCTCCGCGGGCCGGATCCTGCCTGCAGAGGCCCTTTTTGCACCCCTGACTTACAGTGTGTGTTATTAAAAACAAAAACTAAGTAAGCTTTGTGTAGTGTTCCCTCAGTAAAGTGGAATGTAAGTATCTTTTGGTACTCAAGTAACATTTTTAAACAGTAAATTGACATTGATATGGATCTGCGTAATGGTTTATACTCTGTGAAATTTGGAAAAAATTGGTTAAGTAATAGTTATTAATTGAACACAGTATGCTGCAACTCCACTGAAAATGAATTTTCCATTTCAGTATTAAGTGCTCACAAAAGGCTGCTAAGTAGTTGTACTTGGACTAATGCATTGCATTATGATACAGCACTTAACAATTTAATATTTTAAAGAAACTTCAGAAGTTACTTAAGTCAAGATTGCCAACTTTTGCATTCATTAAGCAAAGACTGAAGTATATAAACTGTAGTACTTTCTGGCTAAAGGCAGACTTCAGGTTGAAAGTTCAACTGTGTGCTTAAAACCTTGACTGAAATTAGGCCAATGAGGAAAAAGGAGGCTCTGCAGCTGGAGCAGTGCCACTGTCACCACCATGGGCATTTCTAATACCTCCTTCCCCCAGCTCTTAGCCCCCCTGTCCTGAGCTCATTGCCCTGAGACCCCCACATCTCCCACCTCTTCCCTGAGTCCCCTGCCCTGCACCCCAAACCCTGCCCTGAGTACACTTCCAAGCCCCCTACCCTGACTGCCACATCCCTCACCATCTACCCTAATACCCACAAGGACCAGGGATTGGTCCTGCCTTGGGCAGGGGGCTGGACTTGATGACCTCCTGAGGTCTTTTCCAGTCTCTATGATTCTATGATCCAGGCAACACTGGGAAAATCCTCTAGTAACCAAAAATAAGTAAATATTTGGAAATATATTTATTTAAAATTAAATGGTTACAACTCTTCAGAAGTGCCTGCCTTGTCCTCATCTTGCTACCCTCCACAGTGTGACGCTTTTTGTGAAATGTATTTGTTGTGTAAATCAGTTTTTCGAAGGATCTACTTGTTTTTCAGCAACTTGTTATCAAACACAACACAGTCTGTCAAAGTTCATTCACACAAACAAAATAGCCTTCATGGGAGAAACACTGATACATGATTTTTTTAGGTGACCAAACTTCATTAATTACTAAAAGACATGTTCATTAGAGGCTGTGGTGCCTGGCACAAAATGAACTCCTCTGCCTTTGCCAGATTGGAGTATTCTACTGCCTTACTGTCCATCTCTTGAAAAACATTAGACCACTTTAAGAAATGGGGGTTTTCTGTGTATTCCAGTCAGACATGTGACAGGATGATATTAGTTTTGTATTTGTCCATTCATCAAAAAGATTATTCCTATTTATCAAACCTAAGGTGGGAATTCTTGTGTGGCAAAGGCAAGACTGCTTCGTATATTATCCCATACCAGCAGGGCCCACTCAAGCCTTTCTGTGCGTTCAAAGGCAGGTTTCCAGTGTTCCAACTACTTCAGAGGTTTTGAATAAAAAATTTTGTTCCTTAATTTCCCCACCGTTGCCTCAACCAAAGACTACAGGAGGGTCTTTTTGTGTGATGTGACAATCCCCCCCCAACTCTGCCCATGGGCTTGTGGGTTTCTGCTGCATGGGAAGCTCTAGGGATCCAGGATTCAGCCCTCTGGCCCCTGACTGCAACCTCTTGGGGCTTCAACCTGAGAGGTACTGGGAATTCAGGAGGTGCATCATGGATTAGGGCTTCAGCCTGAGAATTCAGTGTGGGAAAAGCCACCGGGGATTAAGATTTCAGCCCCACTGTAGGTGCCAGGGATCATGGCTTCAGTTCCACAGCTTCCCAGAGCTGGCAGTCACCTTCCTCCATGGAACCCTGCTTCACGATGTACACAGGGACGGATGGCACACATCTCTCACCCCTACACCCTTATCCCTCGTCTACACCACACAAGCTGCCTCTCCTCTTGAATTCCTGTCTTTCTGCCTCTGAACCATGCCTGAGAGCTCCACCTACTGGCCACTGCCTGCCACATTCCCCTGCCAGCCATAAACAGGCAGCTCCTGTGGCTGTCGTCTACACCACACAAGCTGCCTCTCCTCTTGAATTCCTGTCTTTCTGCCTCTGAACCATGCCTGAGAGCTCCACCTACTGGCCACTGCCTGTCACATTCACCTGCCAGCCATAAACAGGCAGCTCCTGTGGCTGCGTTAACCATGACACACCAACAGGGACCAGCTGAAGCAGAAAATATAGGACAATTCTCCCATTTTAAAAAAAAGTAGGGACAGCTGCAAGAGGGCTTAAAAACGGGACAGATAATCACCTTGAGCATTTTGCCTTGCTACTGGCTGGTGCTACTTATTTATAAGAAGACTGTGATATTTCTGTGGGAGTCAAAACTTAGAATTTCCTGAGTTTTCTGCACAACTTTTAATGGTGGAATTAATTTTTCAGTGATAGAAAACTTTGTTTCTCAAAATAAATACCATAGTTACGTGTGTGGTTTTATAGGGAATTGTTTGTGGATTGTTGAGAAATATAATCGGTTAAATGATATAATTGTAATAATTTAACTGGTTTACCGTGTGGCTGGGGTCCTGCTGTATTGCTGCAGACAAGGGGGTAGGGAGCTGCTGGTAAGGCTAATGCTTCTTGGGTAACCAGTTAACCTTTTACATTCCACCCTTTACTGCTCTCTTGGACAATATAAGCATATAACACAGCCTTTCTGTCTCTTAATAGAAAATGATAGGCATAAATACTTTTATCACAAATGCAGTTTTCCAAGCACTTCAATCTCAGCATACTGGTTTAGATAAAACAAGTTTATTAACTACAAAAAGATTAAGTGATTACAAGTAGCAAAGCATAAAAATCAGAATTGCCCACTTAAAAACTAAAGTGAATTAAAAGGAAACATCTCTTGCACCACATGTTTTAGCAGTCTTACCAGATGCATCTTTCAGTCAGGATATCTGCCCAGTCCAAAGCTGTTTCTCTTGTTCTTCAGGTATTGTGCATGTGGAAGGTAGAGAGAAAGGAAGAATAATTTTGGGCTGTCACCTTAGGAGTGCAAATGATTCAACTTTTGCTGAGGTTTAGAAGACAGTCTGTGTGGATGGGAACTCCCAGCTGTTTCTTTGTCAGGATGTAGATTTTTGTCCACATGTTCTTTCCTGCCAAAGAATGGCTACTTAACCAGGTGATTGCCCATTTAAGATTGATGATAACTGGCTGAAGTATTGCCTAATTTTTTTGTTTCTGGGAAACTGGTTTGTAACTCTTCCCCAAACTCAGAACATATCTTGAGTAATATCCTATGGTAGAATAACTAACTTTACACACAGTGTTGCCATACATTTTTTACCAGAATAATGATCAGTTAATTATGAATTTTCAGATGATTCCTCACAAGACATATTATGTATGAATTTTGGGAATGTGGAAAAAGTCCCGTTGGCCATCTCTTTGCTTCCTAGCTCTCCTGGGGCTTGCAGCTTACTTTCATGCCACCTGAATTACAGTCCTTGTTGCAAACTCCAACATCCGCTGTGAGAAATCATGGATCCCAGACTTCTCTGCCATGCTGTATTCAATGTGCTTAGGACATCATGTATTGCAACAGAGCCAATTATGCACTTAATAGCAGAGGACAAAGACTCAGACGCGATCAACAGTGTGAGCTACAGTGACAGCAGCAAAGTGGCATTGCATTGGGCTGTCACAGAGCAGCTGTGCAGATTAGAGCAGGAGTGGCCAACCCGAGGCTCGCGAGCTGCATGTGGCTCTTCCATGCCCCCTCCCCCGCAGTGGCTCGAAAGCTGCCCCTGTATCCCCCAAAAACGGCCCTCTCCTCCCGGCTCCCTGTGCTGACCTGGGCAGGGGAGCCATCTGGTGCGGCCATGAAAGCTGAAGAAATAAAGATGGCAGCAGGAGCCTACTGTGGCCACAAAGCCTCAAAACACGTTTAACTGTGGTTTCTTAAAGGGGCAGAGCCTTTTTTGAGAGATTGTTGGGTTTTTTTTGCTCGATGAAATGAGACGGGGGGGGGGGGGGTCCTTTAAATGGGCTTCTC